TTATAAGCTTATGACTATAATATGATTAACAAATTTCAAGGACATTTCCCTCTCCAAAAAAAGGTTTCTTGTTTTCCTAAAGTGATGCATTGGGAAATATGACTTTTAAAATAAACATGCTGGTATTCAGTTTCCTTTTTTCTACCTCCCTCTTTAAATCCCAGATTGTTGCCTCCTAAACATCAGAGTATCTAAAATCTCCCGGAAGGACATAAATCAGTATCAAAGACTGTGGGAAGTACTTTTTTCTATATTCTAAATATACTTTTGATTTTAACTGTGACAAGCTACTCAGTGATAAATTTGTGTTCTTTAACATTGACGTCAGTGTTTGGCAAACAGAAAAAAGTCAGTCAAGGAAATATCTGCCTCTGGTATGTTCAGAGCAGTGCATGCGGTTTTTAACTCCTGAGAGCAAGCACCATCTTTGGTTTTGCTCAACACTGTCTCCCGTTGAGTTGTCAGCCTTGGAACTGTGGAAACTTTGGGGTAGATAACCCTTTGTGGTTGGAGCTGTCCTGCCATTGTGGTAAATAGTATTGACTCCACGTGGAGAGTTTCCTTTTGAAGCTTGGTCCTTCTTTTGCTGCTGTAGCCGTGTGGTTTTGAAATTGGGGCACAATGCTCCTCAGTGCTACTTTATTAGAAAAATATTAATTAAAAATTCATGTGTTTTGATGTATTTTTATCTTTTTTTAAAATCAAAGTTATGAGTTTTGGGCAATAAGGATTCTTCAGAACTGGGTTGCCTAACATGATAGCCACTAGCCACACTGGCCATTTCCACTTTAATTTTACTGAATACAAATTAAATGTAATGAAGCATTTAGTTTTTCAGCCACCCTGTTCACATTTCAAGAGCTCCTTAGCCACGTGTCTAGTAGCTACAAGGAGACAGTGCAGGCAGAACATTCCCGCCATCACAGACAGTTCTGCTGCTCACAGTGGCTCTAGAACGAGATTGGCAATCCATGATCTAGGACTCACTCTAACCCCACCCCCCACACTTGTTTTGTAAATAAAATTTTCTTGAAATACAGCCAAATGTCTTCATGTTGTCTATGGTTTTCAGGCTATCACAGCAGAATTGAGTAGTTGGAATAGAGTCCCTATGACTCACAGAGCCTGACATATTTTCTTTTTGTGACCGCACTTACAAGTATACCTGCTCATAAAGCTGAGGTTGTTCATATAGCGTAGTTGTTATGTGTGAGCAGATGTTCGTAGTGTAATAGGTTATATGAGGCAGGTTATCAAAATTCAAAGATGAGCTGGGTCAGAAGAACATCAAGAATTGAGTTATCAGGCCAAACCTCTGGATTCCTAGCTGAGAACAGTTGTACCTTTGTGTAGGGGTAACCAGAATGCGTGTTCCTCTCTAGGGGATCAGATTCTTTCCAAAAATGAAAAGATGAAAGACTATCAGGCAAGACAACAAGCAAACAGTCAGTCTACTCAGGATGGGCTGGACAACGAGCAGAATGAGTCCACAGTTGCCCAGAGACCCATCAGTGCTGCTGGCCCATTGGCACTGCTGAGCCACAGTCTGGCTGGGAGTGTGTGATGGAATCTACAAAGGAATGAGAACAGGCAGAAAAAGCAGAGTGAGGTGGGGGGGGGGGGGCGTTTATCTGTTAGACCTAAACACCTTTCAATTGAGGCTTTCAATTTGGACTCACATAGGAATTTATTCAAAAATGTTTATTTCATTAACAGAGTAAATTTCTAATTTTTGATTGATTGGCTCATTTAGTATTTTGATGGTCTTTTATTTTGTAGAATATCTAAGAAATTTAGTCTCTTAGATAACAAGTAAAATATTTAAATCTGTTTTGTTTTTAACATTTTTACATATCATTTTAAAAAATAATGTTTTATACCATGGAGTTTTTCCGTTTTGATGGGACATGAGCTTATTTGTCTGTGTCTTGGGCTGATAGTTTTTTTGCTTTTTTTTTTTTTTAATGGAGGCCAAATCATGATGTATAAATTGTACCCCAGACAAATTTGTCTGTGAAGATTGTTAAAAGCTGATTTTTTAAAGTGTATTTTTAGTTAGTTGATTTTAAGTTGTAAATTATAATGCGATCTAATGGAAGTAAGCTTTTGACATTGGCCTGATAGAACTGGCTTTGCGACTCTTTCTTTGTTGCTTTCCCAGGTGAAAGCCAGCAGCTTCTTAGTCACAGTGCCCTTGCCTCTGTGGCCAGGGCTTCTCTCCGGTGAGTGCCTTATAAAGGCTGACCTTCACTAGAGCAGATTATAGTGTGGCAGGGAGAGCTAAATTTAGAGGGAAAGCAAGACTCTGCTCCAAATAGTAACAGCTCAACGATAGAGACTTTTGGTGAACAGAGTATCTTCATTTAGTCTTTCCATACCAGTAGGTGAGTCTCTGTGTTGTTTGTTTTAATTTTTGGTGTTTACATAAAAAACTTTCCATCTCTTTTATGTTTACAACTTATTGTGTTATTTTCCACACAGACTATATTGAGGGTGGGAAACTATGCCATATAATTAGGCTACAAAGAAACAAAGGTTTGTGTTTAGAATTGAAGAGAGCATAAACGGAGCTAACAATTTTTTAAATGGAGTAATTCCCTCAAAGGTAGGCTGTGTGTAAGGGTAAATCTCCATTGTCAGCAAACTAGAAACAAAGTACAAAGGTAGAGTTAATTGGGGTTCCCAATTGTTTATATCCTGGGTCCTAAAATACACCTTTTAGAAAGGGCTCACACTTTTAGAATATTTTTTATTCCAAAATATAAACATCCTTGGCAAAGTATAAGTCCTTCCTTGCATGTTTACCTACTTGAGGAGTTTCAGGCTAGTTGTTCTTTCTTTTTTTCTATTTTTGTTTTTGCATCTCTGGTGTGAGACCCCAGGTCTGTAACAGATATTTTTCTTTACTAACACAGAAGACATTTTATATAAAAATGTGTTGTCTGAGGGGAGGTGTGGAATACATGCACACACACATGTCTGTGTACACACATGTGTTTATATGCATTACTTGTTCCTCGATGAGGTGTTTGATGATCCAGAGTAAATCCATGGATGTCGAAGGAAATTTAATTTCTGAATGAAAGAGTTTTGCAATGAGTATAAATAATGCATTAGAAGCTCTATTTCCAACATCTATCAAATAAAATGATATTTCATCAGTTACATTTATAACTATTTAAAACATAGCTGCTGCCGCATACCCATACAACAATCAGTCACTTTTTTGGCCCGTGTTCTGGGACTGTACTATTTTCCCACCTATCTTATTGCATTGTAAATGTTGAGATTTTATCTCCAGAAGAGGCTCTGGGCTTTTCTGAGGGCATGGAATCTGCCTTAGTCACCTTTATTTTGCAAAGCATGATGGATTAAGTTCACTTTATAGGATTGATAAAAATCATCTTTATTTAAGCCATATTACTGTTTTCATTTGTCACCTTATTTCTAATTAGTTTCATTTTTAAAGTTATGATTAAAGTTTTTAGTGATAAACAGATTGCTTTCTATGTGAAAAGTTTCTCATTAGTGGGTGTGAAGAAAGTTTTTGTAATAAATTGAGTAATAATTTTTGAATGCTTAAGAATTTTTTTTTAAACTTTCATACATAAATAATTTACTTGAATATTACAAATTTTCATGATTACTTAATGGTGTAAGTATTGTAGAAAATCTGGACATTTTCAAGTCACAATTTTTAAATACTTTGAAAGATAATTAAATAATTTACTTGACATCTTATTTGTTTAGTTCTCATCATTTAGGTGATCTAGACATGTTTTCAGATTGTAATATTTATGCCAGCAAATTTATTCTTAATTTATAAAATGTCTTATTTGGTTTTTGGGTTGGTTTTTTTTTTACTTTTTTCAAAGCTAATATTTTTTAGTTGTCTTTTAAGTCAAATTGGAGAATATAGAATACCCAAATCGCTGCCCTGTGAGGTAAACAAATATAAGACTTTTTAGCAGTTTTTTTTTAATATCTTTCTGAAGTTTTGCTAGCATAGAAAAGTGGAATATATATCACCATTTTAACCAAAAACATATGTTTTACACTCTTATTCCACTTGTTTTTTTCCATTAGCAATGCCTTGGCACAGCTCATTTGACAATTATTTGAGCTTATTTGAGCATTATTCATTAAATGCTTACTGTTTACTTAGCTTTATTTTAGGTGCTAAAGACACACTATAAAGTAAAAACTATGAAGTCCCTCCCTGCATGGAGGCTACACCCTCAAGGGAGAAATAGACCAGAGGCAAACAGACATAATCAAATGGCAGGGCGTGTGTAGCGCCATGGAGAGAAGAAGGCTTCTCTGCAAAGGGGGCCTTTGATTGGGTGTAGAGAGAAGACCAGGGGGACTGACCGGGATAGCATCCTTCCCAGAGAGAGGGACTCCTCTGGCACATTGGCGGAAGGAAGGGCAGTGTGGTTGGAGCACAGTGAGTGATGGGAAGAGAGGTAGATGTAGGAAACATAATCTGAGAGGTACCAGGCCTAATTCCTTCATTTGTAAAACTTCATGAAATTCCATTTGATGGCTTATTATAAACTAGTTTAACCAGCCTCATATTTATGAGCATTTAGGTTTCCATTTTTTTAATGCCTCTAACAACGCTGAACTGAATTCTTTCTACACACACGCTCACAAAATATATTCACATATTTGTGTGGGTATACATTCCTAGTAGAGAAATTGTTGGAACCCAGGTTGTGCACATAGAAATGTTTATAGGTATTCAACAAATATTTCCCAGTAGTATTGCATGGAGTTCCTCTCTTATGCCAAAATTTATGCCTGAGGTTGTTTCCCTTATGTCTTTTTGTCAACACTAGTTATTATTAAACTTTAAAACTTGCTAGTTCAGTAGTTAAAATTATCTCATTTTGTTAAAGTATATTCAGTATGGGTGAGATTATGCTTATTAGCTATATATTTTTATATGAACTGCTTAATTGAATTACATAATCTTTCTTTTCTTTTCCAGAAATTTTATGAATAAGCATCAGAAGCCAGTGCTAACAGGCCAGCGGTTCAAAACTCGGAAAAGGGGTAGGTTGTGTTGTGGGTTTGGGGCGGGGGGCATGTTTATGTGTAGGTGTGTTTTAAGTTCCAATCAAAATATAAAAGTGGAGAAGATTTAGAATTATATTCTTGTTTCCAGCTAACCTCCCTAATTCCAGTCTTTTGAACTCTGGATGGAGAATCTGAAGGTCTGAGATCCAGCCTCAGAATTGCCAGTCCCTTAGGTGTTTGATTTTGGATAAGTCATCTAACTTGTCTGAGCTTTGTGTCAATATCTACAAAATGAGGATAATTACATCTGATCAGATTGCCTCGCTCTCAACTGAAGATGATTGACTTTAGTGTTTTGACATCAGCATTTGTATTTGTTTTTTGCCTTCTTGTTTGTTTTTTAAAAAGTATAAAGAGCAAGGGTACTACAACTAAAAGAAAAGTAAGTTAGGGAAAGAGTTTTACCTCTTCAGAATTTAGAGAGTTAAATTAAACTTACTGCCCTAAATATCTTTAAAACACAGGATATTTTCAAGGGACTTTTCTTGTGGGAAGAGTATTGAGAATGACTGATGAAATTACTACTTACATGCGCCACTGCTCCTTTTTATGTCATGTTCATCTTAACATCCTTTCTGTGTAAAGATTATTTTTAAAGGTTTATATTTAGTCAGTTTTGCATAGTTATGTAGAGATCCTCTTGGGTTTAAGAATAATTGAGCCAATACATGATGGGGAAGACTTTTTAAAATACAAAACAAATGAAGTTATTGTGTTGACTAACCCTGAGGAGAGTGACTGACAATGTTTAAGAAAGTGTCATGTATAAAGAAAAATGATGGCTGAAATCTTCCCGAAGGCCTCACGGCTGATTATGAAGCATCATGCCATACAGCGGTTGTCAGGTGCTACAGTTGAATGGGTCACCCACAGTGTATGCCTTTGGCGTGTTCAGTTGGGGTGTTTTGGCAGCACCTGCTGCTGATGTTCCCTTGCAGTGCTGCGTCTAGGTTAGTATAACTCTAGTCATTTAGAAAGAAAAGAAGTCTCAGTCCACTTGGTCAATTGGATGAAAAGAGTTTCCAAGAATCACTAGGTAGCTCTAAGGTGGAATTGAACTGTAAACACTGCCTGCCGGAAAGCTTCACGCTCCCACTAAATAATGTAAAAGTAACCAAATGGTTATTTTGTACAGTATTTCTGTTTGCACTCTCCTTCTTTCGATGTGTGTTGTTGCTGTGTTTTTAGTTCCTGGCTCATCCCCACAAACTGTCTAAGTAAAAGCATAGCCTAAGCCACTGCCCTCTACTTAGTCCTCTAACAAAGCGATCTCCCCATTAAAATCTGGAAACTGGGACCGATACAAGGCGCTACAACCAGCATGCATTTGTTGTTTTATTGTCTAACGCAGTCTTGGGCAGGGGAGACTATAAAAAAATCATCACAGTTGATTTCCAAAGGGCTTCATAATTAAGGAACAATGTAGTCCAGAAACCTAATTACAGTTTAGGTGTTTCGGGGCCTGGTAAGGTGGTAATATTTCACCTATGCCCGACTGTGAGGCGCAGAAAGGTTTTCCGTGTCCTGCCCACTGAGGAACTGTGTTAATCTCAGACTGGATCTCCAGCTCTAGCAGCTTTACTAGTGACGCCGATTCACACACGGTAACAGCCCCAAAGCCAGGAGCCGGCCCAAGTATGTGTTGCACAACAGCAGACATGATTCCACAAGCAAGCTTGTCTTGCAGTCTTTAGAACCGGAAAGGTCCTCTCATCCGAGCTGGTTTGCCTCTGATTCATTCGGTGGGCGAGATCGTGCCTGAGTCTTATTGCTGGGGAGCACTCAGAGCCCGCAGCCTATTGCATATCGTTGCTCAGTTGATCTGGTTTTATAGGCTCAGGTCTGTGGGAGATTTAAGCAGCACTTGAGCTGTTTCGTGCCAGGCTGCTGACAGGAGAAAAATAGAGTCAACCTCATTTTACATTCTTTGGAATAGTGAATTGCCTCCTAACGATTTATAGTGCTCTGGCTTTTCTCTTGCTATTATGACAGGGCCGACTGCAGATAAATGGTTGGCAGTTTTGTTAAGCTGAGGAAAAATCTGCCGAGGCTGTTTCAAGGTCATTTTGATAGGCTGTCTTCTGAAAATCTGTCTTCCATTTGAAATTATTTCCTGGCAATTTGGCTAATGCTCTTCCATATGTAAGTTGGTACCAAAAAAAAAAAAAAAAATGTATTTCTTTTTGCTGAACATAGAAATCCAATATCATGGCAGGACGCATCATATAGAACTCTATTCAGACTGTCTTTTCCTTTATAAAATATGCATAACTTATTTAGTATATTTTCTTCAAAGGAGTTATGTTTTCCATTGTGGTTTGTGGGAATCTAAAAAGATGAATGTTTCTCCCCTGAACCACGGTGATGCTAAGCTAAATGAATTATTTAATGACTGAGTTGACCTCCCTGAAAATTTTGTAGAGAGATTGGATGAAAATAGGAGAGGAAATAAATGACCCAGTTGCAGACATCTGGAGTGACCACAGTCTTGGGTTTCTCCCTGAGACTTTACATCTGTCCTAGTGGTTTTAGATTACTCAGCTTTACAATAAGTAGTGGTAGCAACTAATCAAGGAAAACTTTAAATGTGCAAATATATATGTCTGTGTATGGTTAGAAATTCCTGATAGTTAATTCGCTTATTATATATCTCAGTGACTTTTAGGGAGGAATGCAGGTTATGTTGTTTATCACTTAATGATCAACAGGCTGGGAAAATGCTGTATTAACCAGTTACTATAATTCCCAGAGAAAGCAATGCATCTAGATAACTTACAGGCATATTTGAGTCTTACAGGCATAAATGAGTCAGAAATAGGCTCATTTCTCCATGTCAGCTTAGGGGTTATTTTGACTAAGTCCTCCGTGTCTCACTTGTGATTCACCAACGTAGTATAAATTGAGGCCCTAATTATATGTTCCCACTTGGAGGGAGCTTTGACCTGCCAAATGGAAACTCAGGAAGCAATGGCATATTTTTGTTTGGATTTTTTAAGCCGGTCCTCAAATTAAATATGAAATTATATATACTATTATCTCAGATGAAAAAGAACCTTTTGGTAAAATGCCTTGTTTCCTCAAACTTCCATCCATGTTCTTGCCATGCTCCTGTATAAGATGTTGGTATTCCTCTACATGGACACTTACCTTAGCAGGTGGGAATTTGTTTTCCAGTCTGCAAAAGAATTATTAATCCCATCATGCCTCGTGACTTTTCAAGATTCCCAAGCTGTAAGTGATCATTTTGACCTAATTGCTTGCTGTTGAGAATCTGGCCATGGTATGCTGTCTTCCTCCTTTTGCTTTTCCTCTTCCTTGGCAAATCTTTTGGAAAATATAACTGGAGGATGAAAGCTTCTTACAAAAAGCTTTTCAGTTGTCTCTTAGATTTAAAACCAAGTCCTCAGCATGAATTTGTAGCATCGTCTGTGTTTTACTTTATTAACCAACTTATATTTTCCAATGCCTTCAATTTCCAATTTTTGATCATCAAAGCCTATTCTGCCACCGGAGTCAACGTCCCAGGAGGTTGTGGTGTCATAGTAGGGATGGCTTCAATTGATTTTGGAAGCTAGTCATAATAAACAGCCCATGGTCTTTGGGCTTTTTTATTTCTTGTGGTCTTTACTGTGCATGTTCTCATATTCCAGGAAAGGGACCTTTTCTCCACGGGGAGAGGAAAATTACCCTTTAGCTGGAACCTGAGTAAGGGCTGCAGTTTCCTTTCCCTGCCCGTGAATTCCTCCTGCTCAGTCAGACAGTTATCCACCCACTACTCATAATCTGCCTCTAGAGTTCCCATTCTCCTCCTTCCCATCTAAAAAAATTACATTCCCGCCCCCTGTGGTCAATATTTGCATGTTCTTAGCTGCATAATGTTTTGCTTTTAGCATCAAAAGGACCTCTGTCTCTTGTTCATGCAGGATATTATTCAAGTTTATTTACATCTGGCTTTATGATATGCTGTTTGAAGCTGACTGGTACAGAGAATGCCATTCTTCTCTGGTTCTGAGGCTATGGTGTTAACCCCTTATGAAACCAGTAAATCTCTTACTACAAACAGTAGGAATTGTAACATTATTGTACTGAAGGCATTTTATATTATTATATTGAAAAACGCTCTCCCAGAATTCTTCTTTATCTTATTTTTTTATATACAGTCTTCTTTATTTTTAGGTGCTTTTCACTGGATCTTTTTTTTTTTTTTCTGTCTCAAATGAAACAAAATTTTAAGATTTAAATGTTCTACTCTTTTTTTTTTTTATCAGATAGTTAGGGTTAGTGAATTACAATGGCCCATTCTATAAATGACACAAATGATCGATCATTTTTTTATGTATTAGAGTTAACAAATTTTTGTGCCCTCTTTAAACAGAAATAAATTTCTTGATAAATGTTCAAACTAATGGTTTTAGAATGTGGAATCTAGTAAAAAAACAAAACAAAAAAACTTAATTGCACTTAAACTTTTAAATAATTATAATACTAAATATATTGTGGTTGCATTTGGGAATGTAATGTGTAAATAAAGGAATCCTAGATAGTAAAAGGCTAATATACAAATTGTCCCATGTGGAGTTCAACCGACTGGCAGTTCAACCTCTCGCTATGACATGTGCTGACCACCAAGGAACTGCACAGAATAAAGGAAGGCCCCGGCTGGCAGACAGAAGGCCCTGATCGGCCCTGATCTGCCCTGATTGCCAGCTAGGTCTAGGTACCCTATCCATGCACAAATTTTGTGCACTGGGCCTCTAATAATTTTATAATTTTTTTTTTTTTTTTTTAGATGAAAAAGAGAAATTCGAACCCACGGTCTTCAGGGATACACTTGTCCAGGGGCTTAATGAAGCTGGTGATGACCTTGAAGCTGTAGCCAAGTTTCTGGACTCTACAGGCTCAAGACTAGATTATCGTCGCTATGCAGACACTCTCTTCGATATCCTGGTAGCTGGCAGTATGCTTGGTAAGCCTGCATGATAGCACCTCCTTGTAGTGTATCTGCTTTTAATTCTATTAAAATAGTTCCTTATAAGGTAGAATTTTTATAAGTTTACATTTGTGGGAGACTCACCAATTTTTATCTCGATTACAATTTGGAATAGTATTAATGTGGCTATGAAATAATTACTAATTAAAAAAAGGCATGGAATTGAAGTTTTTCTGTTGATATTAAAAATGTCTTTAGATAGAAGCCAACTTTTCCATGTGTTCCTAATCCTTAAAAGTTTCTGGAGCATTTAGCACAGGAAGAATAATTTCTGCAGTATAGTATAACTTTGTATATATCATCTGGATCATTCCAGTATGTTTACTTAACCGCCGTCACCATGCCAACTTTTCCTCTATCTAATAGAGCAGAGGCATCAGGGAAGAAGGCTGCAAAATACCATTTTAGTGACATAGTATCTTGATCTAAATGTTTATTAGGTACATAACCACCCATTATTTCTTTCATAGTTATTCTTAGTAAGAACGTAGTTTTGATCATTGGTTTCTGTAGTAGCCATAAATCACTAAATTGGTCAAATTCCCTAGGCCAGTGATTTTCAACTGCCATGGGAACATTTGCAGATGTGTGGAAGTGATTTGGTTGCTATGTAGACTTAGGAGTGGAGGTCATCTATGCTACCTGCTTTACTATACGAAGGACAGTCAATACAATGAGAAATTACCCTGCCCAGCCCACTGTAGTGCCTTTCCTTGAGAAACACTGCTTGAGCCGGCCTACTGTACAACAGGTATATGTGTTCCTCCATTCTGAAGTAGACCCACCCTTTAATTTCTCCCTCTGAGCTCTTGTATTTATTACAGTATTTGGCTCCACTTACTATAGGCCCCCCCGCTTTTTTTTTATCTGTACTGATGGTTTTTACTACAAATTAATTTTATTGTTGTTATTGTTTATAAATTATCTCATATCATCACTGTAGGTAATTCAAGTCCACACATAAAAGCTGGTAGTATGTTCAAACCCAGACATGAAATTTTTGATATTTTGGTTAATTCCCTTCTCTACCTAAATACACATACTTTTGAGAATGGATTAGTATACAAATATGATACACTGTATGCTATTTTGTACTTACTCTGCAATATGTTATTGCCTTTTATGTCCATGAGTGGTACCTTGGATGACTCTAAAGAGAATTAAAACCATACTGATTGCCGAAACCAGTTTGGCTCGGTGGATAGAGCGTCGGCCTGTGGACTGAAGGGTCCTGAGTTCGATTCTAGTCAAGGGCATGTACCTTGGTTTTAGGCACATCCCTAGTGGGGGGGGGGGGGTGTAGGAGACAGCTGATTGATATTTCTCTCTCATCGATGTTTCTAACTATCCCTCTCCCTTCCTCTCTGTAAAAAATCAATAAAATATTTTTTAAAAATAAAATAAAACCATACTGATTTTTAAGAATATTTAACTCCTTTCCAATTTTCATTATTATAAACAACAATGTAATCAGTATTTGTATGAACATATTTGTGCTTTTATTTAGTTATATTTTTATGTATTTAGCAAAGGATTAATGAATTGATGGATGGAAATATCTATTATATGTCTGTCTATGTCTTATCAGTCTCTCTGAAAGAGAGAAAATCAGCCTAAAAAAAGGAATGTCAACATTTTATCAAAAATCATATGTTCCTGGCCCTGGCCAGGTAGCTCAGTTGGTTGGAGCATCGTCTTGATGTGCCAAGGTTGCAATTTCAAGCCCTCATCAGGGCACCTACAAGAATCAACCAATGAATGCATCAATAGGTAGAACAAGAAGTCTATAAAAAAAAAAAAAAATCTTGTTCCTATTTTACCTACACTTTTAGCAATGTTAGATACTCTCAATTTTATCAGATTCTTAGTTTTTTGTCAGGTAAGTGATATATATTTTTATTTAAAACTTTTAAATTAATTATGAAGCTGAACATTTTCTGATGTGATTTTGTTGTGTGTATGTGTTTCATTCATTGTGATATACTTTTATGGACACACTGGTAAGTACCATGCTAAAATAGTCTTAAGCAAAACTTGGTTCTTGCCACAGTGACTTCATTAGTCAATGATGTGGACCCTTTTCTAGCCTCTGTGCCTCCTGGCAGCACCGTTGACCCTTCTGTTGTGCTTGAAATATTTTATGTGTTTCTCTTACATGAACCATTTAGACTTTCTTCAACATCTGGATGTCACTTCTTACGTGACTCCTGCATTTCTATACTTACTCTTCCCACATATGTATTAAATTATCTGTGTGCTTTGCATTGATTATCTCAGTGTTCCATTTACCATCTGTATAATCAAAATCAGCACATTTACATCTGCAGGCCAGGGTTCACTCCTTCATGCCTCATCCATACATCCAAGAGGAGGGTAGAACACAATGTTTGGTACAACCATGAGCACAGGCCATACATGACTGGATGTCCAATGAGGCCAGACTTATGGTGTAATGACTGAAGCCAGTCAGGTGCATTCTTTTTATATAAACAACATGGTTTACTTATCAACTATGTGAGAATTTTCTTCCCACCCACAAAAATATTTACCTTCTCCCATTGTTCTTTAAGCAACATTTCCTTGGTATTTCAGTTCTACGCTTTGAATAATAGATACAAGAAATAGTTCACTGGTTTTACTTCTACTTTGAGAAAAACAGCAAGCTTACCAGAATTTTTAGAAAATAGCAATTAATACTTGGTCCCAATATCAGGGAAAATAAAATTTAATGTTGCAATATTAATGTGTAACAAATGTTTTGTAAAAGAATGCAATTTTTAAAAATTGCCACTTAAAAAAAAAATAGACTGTAGTTTCAAAATCAGGTGTTTCAGTTATGTAACTTCCACCAGGTTGGAATTATTAGTGCAGGATTGTTAGGAGATTATCATCTTAATAAAATGTTGGTCCAGGTGGTTGAATTCATTACAGAGAGCTAATTAAATCTTACGCATAATTATTTGAATGAAAATAGACTCTGGAAGGAGCTGACTTTTCTAAAAACTAATTTACTTATAAAACTGTAGGCTGAGGTCAAGAAAAAGTTGGCTTTGGCTATGTGTAGACCTTTTCATCCAAAGATTTAAAGTCACAAATTAAATCAAGGCATTTATACACTTAAACAAAGTGGCAGTACAAGTACATAACCTATAAATATTTGTTGAGTGTATAAAAGATAGAAATCTAACTTGGCTTACTCAAACATTCTACTCTAATTAAAGTGAGGTTAGAATCAGGAAACAGAAATACCTGCTGTTCCCCTTATGGTCTTCTAATCAACCCATGTTTTAATGGCCACCATTAAAACTTACAGGAGGAGACTTGGACTGTGGAAAGTTGAGTCGTAGAAAAATGGCATTCTTCTGTTCCAGTCCATTTATTTTAAGATACCATATCAGCCATGGAAAAAGAAGATGAGAGAAAATAAAGCACACTTTTTCCTAGCCAATGCAGCTACAGTGACCAAACACAAATGGTATGCAGTCAGACTATGCACTGCCCAACCCTGCATGGAGAACTGGATTGGAGGAGGGAACAGTTTTATTACCGTATCTCCTCCAGACCAACAAGACCTATCCTATGAAAGCCAGGTTTGGTCAATGCCAGTGTTGGTGAACTGGAATCCAACAAAATATTATTGAGACTGAAAAGTGAACCGTGTCCTGATATGGGAAACATCAGGAATTGCATTGAGAATAACTAAGTTCAGTGAATAATTATTATTGCTTAGCTGTCATGATTAAGGATATAGTTGGGAAAGATCAGACTTATAGTGATAGAATCTAGTGAAGGCAAGAATCTAGAACAATCATCTCATATACAGTGGCGGGAGTTTAAAATGGAACAATCAGTTTGCATTGTATTAGAGAAACATAAACAAATAGAACATTTGTATATCTCTACATGCACATCACTCTGTGAAATGTTATGTTACCCTTAGATTTAGTAGACATCTACTTTTATTGTTTTCCTGTGGTGCAGAGTTGATCTGTTCTCCTCATTACCTTTCTCTTTTTTAGCCCCTGGAGGGACACGCATAGATGATGGTGACAAGACCAAGATGACCAACCACTGTGTGTTTTCAGCAAAAGAAGATCATGAAACCATCCGAAACCATGCTCAGGTAGAGCCTATCGTGGAGAAGTTGTTTTGTTAGAAGGGAAACATTTAAACAGGATTCAGGGAAATATTAGGTTCAGGGATTCTACAGGCCACTTTTTAAATAGGAGTAGTTTATAGCTCATAACATTGAGAGTTACTCAGTTGCATTCATAATAAGACAATGGGCATCAAAACATTATGAAGGTGGAGATGTTTACCTCTCACCCATAAGGGAAGTAGGGAATTGAATACTCATATATTTTCTGGTGAGTGTATAAATTAGACCAACGTTTAGGGAGAGCAATTTGGTAGTATTTTTCAAAACTAAAACTATATATTTTCTTGACCCAGGAATTCCACTTCTAGTATGCATACAGTGTTAATTATCATATTAATAGTATTGCTTATAACAATCTCAAGGGATTAAAAACAGTGTGATAGTGGACCAATAGAGTATAATTTAGTATAAGTTTGGTAATTCATATTAAGAGACTATCATGTAGCTGTTTAAAAAGGAAGGGTAAGAAGAAATTTGTGATACATAAAAGCTATTAAGGATTCATATCCAGATTAAATAAGCCACTGCAGTCAGTAAGAGAAAGACAAGCAGCCTATTAAGGAGAGACACGTGGGCCTTTCAAAGAAGAGGAAATACAATTCCCAAAAAAATTAGATGAAGACATATTCAAACTCATTGAAATTTTAAGTGAAATCATGAAACATCCTTCTGCATTCATTAGATTGGTGAAAAAGTTAAGTCTTTAGGCCCTAGTGAGGGTCAGAGAGTGACAGGAATGTAAGGAACTGCATTATATTCAAAAGCATGACTAGCCACTTAGAATTGTTGTGTTCTTATTCTGATTCTATCTTGGACCCTTCTTAAAAGTCTATTCTTATTCCCAACTAAACTTTGTAGTTGAGTCCAAGATAATCAAGTCTTGTTAACACATTTCAATGTATTCATGAAAAAGGCCATAGGACATACTGACAACTAAGTGACTGGATTTCATTTGCTAGAAACTGTCTTTACTTTAGTTATTAAAATGTGAAAGGCATGCTAAGTCGACTGATATATGAGATATGTGGCCATCAAGAATTTTAACTTCAGCCGAAGCTGGTTTGGCTCAGTGGTAGAACATCGGTCTACGGACTGAAAGGTCCCGGGTTCAATTCTGGTCAAGGGCGTGTGCCTTGGTTGCGGGCACATCCCCAGTAGGGGGTGCGCAAGAGGCAGCTGGTCGATGTTTCTCTCTCATCGACGTTTCTAGCTCTCTATCTCTCTCCCTTTCTCTCTGTTAAAAATAAATAAAATATATTTAAAAAAAAAAAGAAAGAAAGAAAGAAAGAAAGAAAGAAAGAAAGAAAGAAAGAAAGAAAGAAAGAAAGAAAGAAAGAAAGAAAGAAAGAAAGAAAAGAATTTTAACTTCAGCTGAAACTAGTTTGAGTCAATGGATAGAGCGTCGGCTTGGGAACTGAAGGGTCCCGGGTTCGATTCCGGTCAAGGGCATGTGCCTTGGTTGTGGGCACATCCTCAGTAGGGAGTGTGCAGGAGGCAGCTGATCGATGACTCTCTCTCATTGATGTTTCTAAACTCTATCTCTCTCCCTTCCTCTCTGTACAAAATCAATAAAATATATTTTTTTTAAAAGAATTTTAACTTCAAAAAATTATTCCAATTACGTGGCATTTTAGCAAAGGTATTTCTTTCCTTTTTATATATAAGAAACATGTAAAAGATAAAAATGTAAAATAGTTTCTAAGGATTGAGTGGGCCCTGGCCAGTTTGGTTAAGTGGTTAGAGCGTCAGCCCTTGGACCAAAGGGTTGTGGGTTTGATTTCCCATCAATGGCATATAACTGGATTGCAGACTTGATCCCCAGTCCAGGTCAGGATGCCAACGGGAAGCAACCAATTGAAGTGTCTCTCTTGCATCAATGTTTATCTCTCTGTCCCCACTGCCCCTCCTCCCTTCCACTCTTTCTAAAAAGAAAAAAAGAAAAAAAGAAAAAAAAATCTCCAGGACTGGTTTGGCTCAGTGGATAGAGCGTCGGCCTGCGGACTAAAAGGTCCTGGGTTCGATTCCAGTCAAGGGCATGTACCTTGGTTGTGGGCACATCCCCAGTAGGGGTGGTGCAAGAGGCAGCTGATTGATGATTCTCTCTCATCGATGTTTCTAACTCTCTCTCTCTCTCTCCCTCTCTGAAAAATCAATAAAATATATTTTTTTAAAAAATTAAAAAATAAATAAATAAATTTTAAAAAATCAATGAAAAAAGTAAAATATCCTTGAGTGAGGATAAATAGGAAATCTTTGCTTCTCCTCGGTATGTAAATGGCCCACAGAACCCTGAGCAGGTGTGTAGTGAAGCAAGTGTATTCATTTCAGAAGCTGGACTTTTATATTTTCCGCTCAGCCTTTGGTATATCAAATAAGTACAGTTCACTAAGGACCAGGATTTCTGAATTCTGTTTCTGTCTCATACTTAATAGCAGTTCCTGGACCTGCCAAATACCACATTAATGCCCACCTTATCTTCCTCAGAGAACTTTTGTTAGAATTAAATTCATACAAGCCACAGGTGTATTACTTGCTAGTTGGGTTCCACTGGGAAAGAAAGATAAGAAGGCCTGGAGAAAACCATACTCCTCAATCCCCTGTTGGGCCATTATTCTTCCCCCATACAGGGCAGCACTGTAATATTTACTCTTGGACTCCGTCTTGGCTGTATTATGGAATAAACACTGGACGTTTTAGATGAGAATATATCATGTGGCTGTAAGAGAAAGAAATTAGATGCAGGAATCACTTTCACAGTTATCAAAATCCTATTAATATGTAATAAAAGACTAATATGCAAATTGTTCCCTTGACTGGAAGTTAGACCAGGGGCAGGGCAGCTAGCCAACCACCTGCAGCCCCTCCTGGCTGGTCCTCAACCTCCCACGGCCCCTCCCCACAGCCGGCCCAGGTCAAGCTGGCTGGACCCCAGCCATGCACGAATTTGTGCACTGGGCCTCTAATAGTGTTTATAAAATCCCTACTTAAATAAGAGCATTGTATAGTCCTATTGAGCTGTTATAGCAAAATAAGATCGGGTGGCTTAAAGTACAGAATTTTACTGCTCAGTTTGGAAGGTTGGGAAGTCCAAGTTCAAAGTGCTAGCTGATTAGCTTTCTAGTGGGGTGCTCTCCCTGGCTTTTATAAGTCCTATCTGATTAGGGCCAAGCCCTTAGGACTTCATTTAACCATCTCCTAAAGTCCCTATGTCCAAATGCAGTCACAACTAAGAGTTAGAGCTTCAACATATGAGTTTGAGAGAACACAAACATTTAGTCCATAACAAACATCACTCCACTTAAAAAAACCAGTCCAGAATTCCACTGACACAGTTGCAACCCTGCCGGAGAGTTCTAAGTGAATGGTGGTGGTCAGTAATCGTTTTTTGCCATTAAGTAAAAACAATTTTTGCTCATCTGCTAAAAACATGCTTGTGACTACATAGAATAGAAGCTCCCCTGAACTCTGATCTCCTTGCCAGCATATCTACCATCTGTGTGATTATATATGTAACCCCCTTCAGTCAGGGTTGATATTTTACTTAAAAATAATTGTATTTATATTTCCCAATTTATCCAAATATTGGATTTCATAACAAATTCCTACAGTATATTTCTAAACACATTCTTGAGATTGTACCTTATTGCCTATGACTTACAGAATTTCAGGGAAATACTTTTATTCGCTTTTATATCTTAATTTGTATTAAAGAGATGGCAGGTGATCACATGTTAATCCCACATGGATTGCACATTTAAGTTATTTCAATCTTTTCATCTCATGGTTTTTAAATTATTTATTTTCTTTTTCATCTAAGTTATTTTCAGTTGCTCCCCTGTTATATTCTTCAGTGAATTTATTTTATTCAGTGTGTGCATTTTGATGCTGTTTTCCCCCCTAAGCCAGAATAACTCCTTTGAAATGCTTATAGTTCTCATATCACAGCCTGAGCATGTTTAAATACACATTTTTTATTGTAGATCTATGTTGTGGTTTGAGTAAGTTTCTATACCTCCTTCTATTGCCTTTTAAAATTGTTTACAAAATATTAAATGGCTCTCTTTTATGTTTAGGTCTTCAATAAACTCATCAGGAGATATAAGTATTTGGAAAAGGCTTTTGAGGATGCAATGAAAAAGGTAAAAATTCAAATGTGATGTCTTATTTGTTGACTTTATTTTATTAAATGTTTGTTGACTGAATGAATGAGTGTAACAAATCATTAGCTAATACCTGTATGAAGAAATACATGATTAACCTAGATTTTCATACATATTTAATATAAAACAGCATGCGTTGTTCAATAGGAACAGTTTTATAGAATATAATCTCTGAGCTTAAAATAAAAAACATAAAATGTGCAAGAAAAAGAAATATATCCAGGGAGGAATCAAGATAGGTAAGGTGATATAATTAGTTGAAGTATGTGAAATAGCACTGCACAGCAGCTAATACTCAGTAAATTTCTTAAATTTAAAAAATACAGTTTAGCAAAAGGGATAAAACACATCTTTGGAGATAATGTAAAGGTGTAAATCTCAATGATTTTTCTCATCTGCAAAATAGTTGTAACAAGATTGCAAACCTTATGGTAATTGGGGGGGGGGTGATAACTATATATATAAAAGCCTAAGTAGCTATGACATGCACTGGCCACTAGGGGACAGACACTCAATGCAGTTGCTGCAGAGTGACAGCAACTTCTCAAAGTACCCTCTCACATTCCAGGACCCTTCTGGGGTTGTTAGAATGCCGGTTTTGGGTTTTGGCCCCATCTGCACAGGCCAAGTCCGAATGATCCCACTAGTGCATGAATCTGTGCACTAGGCCTCTAATAACATATAAAGTGCTTAATATAGTGACTGGCCTCCAGTGAAATAAATAGTAGTGCCTTATTAAAAAGACCTCTTTTTCAGTTATTGCAACATGTTCCCTCTTCCAGTTTGTAGTTCCTCTGTGTTTATATGTAGCAGTCACTATATTAACTTGTTATAAATTTGTATGTTTCTTTGTCATTGTTTCCAGTTTTAGACATCTGCCTAAATTATAAAGAAACCATAACACCTATTTTGCTATTAACTGTTTCCTCCTGTTCAAAGTGGTCCTATATATCATGAAAAACATTTTGGCTGTAAAATAATATTTTTTAAATTAATATTTTCAATGACCCAACTTTCTATTTATGAGTCCTTCAGAAAGGATGCTTAAAACTATATGCTGAAAAGTGTTCATCACAGTATTGAGAAATTACCTAAATGTGCATTGGTGGGCATCTGATTAATTAAATTATGATAACTTTATACAGGGGCATATTATGCAATATTCTAAAGAATGAGCCCTAATCTGTTTGGCTCAGTGGATAGACCCTTGGCCTGCGGACTGAAGGGTGCCAGGTTCGATTCCAGTCAAGGGCATGTACCTTGGTTGCAGACACATCCCCAGTAGGGAGTGTGCAGGAGGCAGCTGAACTGATGTTTCTCTCTCATCAATGTTTCTAACTCTCTATCCTTTTCCCTTCCTCTCCATAAAAACTCAATGAAAATATAGTTTTAAAAAAGAATGAGGCTTAGCCACATGAATTGATTGGAGGAAGTGTCCATGATAGATTGTTAAATGAAATAGCAAGGTGCAGAGCAACCATTTGGTACTACTTTAACCTTGGCAAATCTCTTTTAATTTTTTTGTGCCTCGGTTTCCCTTTCTGTAAAGTAAAGATCAAGGCTGTTGTAGATATTAATACACAAACTGTTTAGAAGAGTATCTGGTCCACTCTACTAATTTTAGTTACCATCAATGTACAGCTCAGTAAAAGCAACTTGTATTATACATATAGCTATTTTTAATATTCAGACACTTATTAATACATTTAAAAATCTGGAAGGACATGCATCAAAGCTAATGTGATTCTAAAGGAGATGAATAGAGAGGAGGTTTTTTTACATTTTTATGTTATTCTTTATTGTTAGATTTTATTCTGGTAGTATTACTGTTTTAATATGAAGAATTTAGATGGAAAGGCATGTGTTTCATTATACTGCTAAATGCTTAGAAAAATGAGGGCTTAAGTAGAGAAATGAATATGATGAAAAATGATGTAAAGCATTCAGATAAATTAAAAGTCTTACTGCTTTGTCTAATAACATTACTCATGTTTTGACTTATCTAAGCTCATTTCAGCCGTGAAAACTTCCTTAATTATTTCATTCATGTAATGAATATGCTTTCAAGAATGATTTATATTTCACAGTATTCTATTTTTTAATAAAAACCTACTGCAATACATGCAGCACATAAATTTAATGTTGATTAATAGAATTGAGCAATGTGAATGTTAATTTTTAAAGAATGATCTAACTTTTGCACCATTTTGTTGTAATGGAATATTTTTAATGAATATAGGTATATTAATGTCTTTAAACTAGTATTGTTAACATTTTTATTTTGGAAGTCATTTCACATTATTCACTTGAACCCTACTCAAGATTGATCTAAAGTGTCTGTGATTTTCTCAGTGTTTATCCTGCCCAATTTCTAATGCTCCCTGGAGTTTTAATCATTCATGCTCTCTATTTCTTGTGAACTTAGAAGCTGACTTCATTTTAATTCATCAACACTTTAACAGGCATAAATTGAGGTGAAATGGAGTGGTTTAATTCCATTCTGCCACTTATTCACAATACTGGTATAAATATTTGGAGAGTCACATAACCTCTATGTAATGTAATAATCCTTTAACTGGTGGGGATAGTAAATTAATATTGCCACACCCACCAGACAGAACTAATGGAACTTCATTGGCACTTAGGCCTATATGGGTGCCAGTAACTTCTCATTGGAGCCAAGTAATGAACAAGTGAGCAGGGCCAGATAGTGATATTGAGCCCTGGGGAGCTGAGTCACATGCCTAAGGACTGATGAAACGGAGGAAATAGCCCAGGGACACAGTGAAAGCTCTATGGGGAAGGGGGTCAGGAGCTAGGGGAGAGCGGTCTGCAGACTCAGTACTCTTGCCGTTCAGAATGAGGAGGGCCTTGGCTTCCCTGCAGCCTTTCTGGGATTGTTACTTTTTCAATTGCCTCTCCAAAATTGCTCTTCCCACCTCATATCAGAAGCCTCTTATCTGTCAGGAACTTTTCTTTACCACATGTCCTCCATTAGCTCATCATCAGGGCTGGTGGCACACCTGCAGGATCCAAGAACTACCAAGCTTGAATCTTGTTATTTTTAATAGAGCAGCAAGAACTTTCTCACTCACTCTTTCTCTTGAAGAGTATGTATGCTGTGAGCTCAGAAAAAGTATATGCAGGATGTCAAAGCTTATTGACTCTTTCCTAGTTTTTATTTGTTTTGCTTTAACCCAAAGAAAGGAGGTAGATGGGGGCGGGAAGCTACCCAAAGAAGTGGGGGAGGGGGGATGTGAAAGACAGTAATGTATTTCAGAAAACATTACTCTCGTTATGTAATGAACAAAAAGTCAAATGTAAATTATTATACTTATGTAACTGTTCACACTGTTCTCCAGATGTCTCTCTTCCTGTGAATGTTATCTATAGTTATATGTAAGTGAACTTGGAAGAAAGGAACTATGCCTGATAAAGTCACTCTTCGTAGTATCCAATGAGTAACCAAATCTGTGTTTCCAATGTATGAGGATTATGCCTCGCACAGGACCTGCTAGTTGTGTACCATGGATGTGCATTCTGTGTGCTCTTTGCCTTCTAGTCCTTTGCTTTATAGACACAGTTTCTTTTGCTTGACCCGCAGCTTCTCCTCTTCCTTAAAGCCTTTACCGAAACAGAGCAGACAAAGTTGGCAATGCTGTCGGGGATTCTGCTAGGCAACGGCAACCTTCCTCCCACCATCCTCACCAGTCTCTTCACCGACAACTTAGTTAAAGAAGGTAATTACTCTCATGTTTTCTTACCTGTCAGATGAAGAAGGAAAGCCACAGATTTTAGAAAAATATCAGTATCTCTTCTTACTGTCCTCCCCTTCCCCGTATAAGAGAATGTGCATGTTCGGTGTCTTAAAAAATAAGAGAATTGTACATGTTTATTGTAGAAAAATTAGATGAAAAATTTGCACATCTAAACAAAGACTGGTAATAAACCAGGATTTTTGGTGTAACACTCAATGTCTTTGTCAAATACCCTGAAATTAATTTGGTCCAAACCACTTTTCTCAACTTACACGCTATTGGCATGTTTCATTGTGCAGGACTCATTTGTGCTTTCTTGGACATGTAACCTTTTTGCCCTCGGACACAAAATGCCAGCCTGTAGCACCCGCCTCCTTTAGTATAACAACCAAAAATGCCCCTTCACTTTCCCAAATGCCTCCAGGCTGCCATTTCCCTGGTGAGGACCTTGCTTCTCAGCCGTTACCTCAAGAGTTTGTGCTGAGTTGTTCACTTTGAGGACATTTTTAAAACATTAATTGTGTTTGTTTTGAAAGTCCAGATGGCTGCATCAGCACTTAGCTTTCATGTTAAGGCATTAAGAGTTTGACAGACATACAATTACTTGGTTATAGAATAAAACAAAAGTGGGCTTTTTTTTTTTTGTAGGAGGATAATGATTTTCAAGTTATAATAGAACACAAAACAAAGGGTTATTTAAAAATACATTAAAAGAGTTTCTATGAAAACATCTGTTTCTTCTTAGAGCTTAAAGTTTTTCTCTTGTAAATGTGAAGTCCAGCCTCATTCATGCTTGCAGTGAAAAGGTTTATAGTTTTCAAGGAAAGAATGGATTCTCTGTATTTTTCAGCTTAAAGCAGTTCAGATTTTTAATAGTTCAGATTCTAATTATATTATTGATAGTATGACATTTTAAAGTAGTTCCCTGGAGAGAATTTACTAGAAAAACACTACAAAATGTAAACAGTAAATATAATTAAATCAGATTATTTTAGTAGTCCTTAGAAAATGATTGCCTTTCTGGTTGTATTAAAAACCTAACTTCTTTTGAAACATATCAAAAAAGTAAATTATTACATAGATAGATGAACAGACATGGGGTAAACCAGTGGTTCTCAACCTTTCTAATGGTGCGACCCTTTAATACAGTTCCTCATGTTGTGGTGACCCCCAACCATAAAATTATTTTTGTTGCTACTTCATAACTGTCATTTTGCTACTGTTATGGATCGTAATGTAAATATCTGTATTTTCCGATGGTCTTAGGTGACCCTGCTAGCGGTTCTCAACCTGTTGTAGAAACTAAGACCATAAATAATTTTACGGTTGGGGGTCACCACATGAGGAAATTATTAAAGGTCATGTCATTAGAAAGTTTGAGAACCACTGGGATAAACCAAAATTGACAAAAATGTTAACAGCTTAGAATCAGGATGGTGTGTATTTATGAGTTTTTTTGTTGAATTTGTTCAGCTTTTCTGTATATTTGAAATCTTTTCTATTAAAATGTTAGGGAGTAGGGAAGGAGAAGAAAAATACCTTTGCTATGGAAGTGACATGGTTTTTCTTTATACTCCACTATCTTTAGAAATTAAAGGATAAAACTCGCTTACTAAATAGGAAAGGATTAAAAAATCACACCTTTTTGTCAATCTCTCACCCAACAAATAGCTAAGAGGGATCAGATCATCCCATCCAAGAGTCTTTAATACAAAGATATTTCTCCAACTTTCCCTCCAAGAGCCACTTTTAATGCAGTGTTATACTGTAGGTTTAAGCCTAGATGTTGAACTCCTGGTTTCAAGCATACTTTATTTTCTTCCTTAGAACATACATAGATTACATCATCTGCCATTTTAAACAATTTAATTGCATACATTTATATTAAATTTTATATTGATTTGATGAACTAATCAAAGAATTAAAAATCCATGTCAACAAGTTTAGAACATAAAATTCTCCAACTTATAAGATATGTATTATAGTCATAGCCAAAATTGGGATGGGGTGGGAGGGTGCTCCATTGCTCTGCTATTCTAATGAAGAAAACTTGGTAAAGTTAGTGTCTGCATAAATGATAGAGCAATTGAATGTATTTACCTGCAAGTAACTGGAAGACAGGACCCGAATTCGTGTATATAAGGAGAAAATTATTATGTAACAATCAGTATACATGTATGGCAGACTTGCCGTGGCTGTGCTGCTCGGTAGTTAGAGTGTCTGCCGAATACCAGAGTTTTGGGTTGGACCCCACAGTTGGGGCACATGGGGGAGATAACCTATCAATGTCTCTCTCTCTCTCATGTCAATGTTTCTCTCCCACCCTACCTCCCTTCCACTCTTTCTAAAAAAAATCAGTGGAAAAGATATCCTCAGATGAGGATTAACAACAAAAAAGTATGGCAGACTTCAGGGTGAACAGCAGTATCACTTAGGACTGGAGTATTTTCCTTCATTTTTCCTCATTACTCTTGTAGCATCAGTTTCACCCCAAGGATGGTTTCCTGGTCATTAAAAGAAGTCTGCTGGTGCAGTTATGTGTGGCACATGCTTCCCATTCAGGTTCGGTGGATATAGGATAATAAAATAAATTTTCTTGCCTTCAGCTGATTGGCTGAAATTGGCCATGTGATCCGTTTCGGCCCAGTAGTAGTTGCCAGGGGAGTGCCTTGGGCAGATGAGCTTAAGCTGAAGTCAATACGCTAATCATTGCAGAAGGAGGTGGTGCCAGGACTTAGATTAGTAGAAGTCACCTGGCCTGCGCAAATGGGAATTCTCTTAAGCAAAAGGAAATGGGCACTGAGGCTGCTTAGGCCAACAGCAATAATAAAGCCTGCGATTCAGAAAGATCAGCTTAATATTTCAACTGCACCTTAATTTTTTATTATAAAAAAGGAACATTAATTTAGAAATGTGAAGTTTTCACAGAAGAGCTATCTCCTAATTATCTCTGATTGTATACTAGGAAATCCCAATTCAAATATGGATATCGATTTGAGTGGTTTCCTGATTAACTTAGCAATTTTAGAAATATCTTAAACTATTGAGAATTCAACTTATAACAGCATTAATATTTTTATAGCTTAATTCATGAATATTTTAAAATATTTTTGCATTTATTTTAGAAAGAGAAGAAGGGAGAGGGATAGAAAGATAGGAACATCAATGAGAGAGATATTGATCTGTTATTTCCTGTACACCCTCACTGGGGACTGAGCCCAAATCCCAGGCATGTTCCCTGACTGGGAATTAACCGGGGGCCTCTTGGTCCATGGGGCAACACTCACCACTGAGCCACACTGGCCATGTAAATTCATGAATATTTTTTTAAAATATTTTATTGATTTTGTATAGAGAGGAAGGGAGAGAGATAGAGAGTTAGAAACATTGATGAGAGAGAGTCATCGATCAGCTGTCTCTTGCACACCCCCCACTGGGGATGTCCCCACAACCAAGGTACATGCCCTTGACCGGAATCAAACCCGGAACCTTTCAGTCCCCAAGCTGACGCTCTATCCACTGAGCAAAACCGATCTCGGCTAATTCATGAATATTTTTAAATGCTTTTTACAAAAAGTATAGTTGTAAATGAGACATGTTTATAGCTCTATTTGTATCTGCTGCTGCTAATTCTTTTACTGGTGTCATTAGCAGATTAGTTGATATGTTGACATTTTAATTTTATGTCTCATGATTTATTTGTTGTACCTCAGGATCACTGTTATAAACATGAAATATTGGTGAATTACAGGGTGATATATATATACAGACAAAAACACTAGGAAGTACTTGTTTTTAAGTCTGGTTTTGACCAAAAATAAATAATTTATAGTTATACTAGATTGGAATTAGGAAGTCCAACTTTGAAAAACACTGTAACTTTTTTAAAAATTTCATTAAAAAATGAAAAAGTTCCCTTTTTAGCACTGAATGGCACTGTGCCTAGAAATGTATATATGTTTCCTTTGTACCAAGTCAAGTCTTGGAGTTATTTATTCATTTCCAGAATCCCGATGAGAAATGTTGCCTTGACCATCATCACAAGGGGTTTTACTTATAAAAGCAACTAAACTCTCTCTTTTTTTAAACAGGCATTGCAGCCTCATTTGCTGTCAAGCTTTTTAAAGCCTGGATGGCAGAAAAAGATGCCAACTCTGTTACCTCTTCTTTGAGAAAAGCCAACTTGGACAAGAGGCTGCTTGTAAGTCTTATCTGGACCAAGGTGTTGCCTGCTTCCTCCTCCAGCACGGCCTGGCAGCATCTGCAGGACAGTGCATGACCAAGAGGCCTGGTCTGTGCTGAGAGGAAGCATGTTCATCTCATTTCTGTGCTATGGTAGATGGAGACTAATTCCACTTTAATCTTTCTTTCATATAGGAAATGGTTCAATTAAAGACTCAAAGAAAACAAACTTTCAAATTTGAGAGTGTGTTGACATAGTGTTAATATTTATCAGAACACTTTCTTTTTTTAACTAGTAACTATAAAAATTTGAATTTTTCCTACAGTACAGCCCTATTGAGCCCACCTATTTAGACATTTGTTATATGTTAGGTTAGAGTTGAATAACACCTATCTGAAATGGATGTCATTGTGTTGACAAAATAAAAATTTAAACAACAGTCCTTGTTTATACCAAGATCCAATGGAAATATTGGGCTATTTAAGCAAGCAAACAAATTCACTGTAGTTCATTCAAAGCTCTCATTATCACAATTACTTAATTATACTTTCACTAGAGGCCCGATGCACAAAATTTGTGCAAGAGTAGGCCTTCCTTCCCTGGCTGCTGGCATTAGCTTCCCTCCAGCCTCAGGCAGGCCGGACCCAGGCTTCCCTTACAAAGGGAGACCCTGCCCACCCAGCTCAGCCCATCCATCAGTCGAAGCCTGGTTGCAGCCATGGTGGCTTGCATTGGCCCTCGAAGCCCTGGCTTCGTCTGGAAGGTCATCGGAAGGATGTCTGGTCTAATTAGCATATTATGCTTTCTTTTTATTATAGATTTCTCTTCTTCATATTCCCCCCCCCCCCAAAAAAAAGTCAAGAACAATATTTTGTCCTCCTAATTTCTATCTGCTCCCTATTATTTATAATCTTTCTGCTAGAAGCTGTGCAAATGACAAGTGAAATTGCTTTTACAATTTTAGGACAAAGTCTGAAATTAAAAGACACCCCAGCCATCTTCTCCTTACCTAGTCTCTTAGCTGGTTTTCTCTTCCAATGTATTCTAGCGTACGAAGGTGACAATTCATGGAATAATTTTAAAACTGCCTCATTGCATTTCCAATGACTTAAAATTCCTTTGTCTCTTGAAATTTGCCTTAAAATATCCCTACTTGTATCTTTAAAATATGATATTATAGAAAAGAACATTTAAGTTTCTAGTTAATTTCCAGTTAATTTCTGCCACTGACAGTAGAGTTCATTCAGCATGAGTGCCCGCTCTGAGCCAACACAGTCCTAGAAGTTATGCAGCCAGCAGAGAACAGGATAGAAAGTTCCTTGCCCTCGTGAAACCTACTTGAGAGACTTGGGGTAAATCTCTGTAAATAGAAGTCTTTGAGGCATGGCATGCTGGAGACTGCAAGAGCATTTGGTAAGAGCGAGAGCATAGGAGATCAGCTCAGAAGAGTATCAGAGGCCATGTCATCCAGAGACTTTAGCTTTTATTCTGAAAAGATAAGAATCCTTTGAAGAATTCTCTGCAGATTTGTGCAGGCTGTGATTTAGGACAGCAGTCGCCAACTGATGGTCCGTGGTCTGTGAGGTCCGAAAGGTTGGTGATTTAGGGTATTAACAGGGTGATTCACTTAGTTGCACTGAGAATAGACTCAAGAGCAAGGCTACAGTAGAAGAAGCTACAGTAAATGTCATGATACGATTTAGACAGATTTTGCCTCAGTTTAATCTGAATGATAATTTTCCATATATTATGTAACATTCATGAGGACTTTGGGTATAGTTCATATATAAACCATGAGTAATATGTTTGGTGACATATTGTTCTGAACATAATTTTAGATCAGATTTCTCAGTTACATTCTTTCTAAATGCAATATTAAGTGCCAGCGCAGAATAATGGAATAAGTATTGATTTTTAAGGTCACACAGCTCTGTCCTTAAATATTTCTGGCTGCATAATTTGAGTCAAACTGCTTAATCTTGTTGGCTCAAGTTGTCATCTATAAAAATTTCAACTTTACACATTTATGAACAACAAATCCGCCCCATCTTGATTCATAGCAGAAATTCAGTCTGGTATAAAATGTTTGCTTTAACATGAATGTGTGCTTGATAATTGTTCCCACCAGCTCTGTCCTAACATTTTGAAACTCATGACTCAACAAGGGAAATTATGGAATGATGATAGTAAAATATAGAAACTTGAGGCATAACTTAGAAGCCATCTGCTTATGTCCCTATACATGGAGACAGTCCAGATCTTTCTACTGAGATGTTTATTGGAGCCATATAGCCATTGACCATATATATGCAAATCAAACCAACCTAATTTTTAGACTGCATCTATCTGACAAATGTGAGAAGTTTGAAAATTGCCCGAATTTCTTAGTTGGGTGTTAAAGTCACACAGGATTAGAACATGACTAAGTGTTACTGAGACTGCCAAGCTGTGTAAGGTAAAATGGAAATGAGGTAAAAAATAAGAGTGGCAATGGTATCATTGCTCTTTTTAAATTTTCCAACAAAATTATGAACTGAAAAGTTGCTAGAGTGGGTTTAGATTAGATCTTGCATGAATATGAGAGCCACTGTCATTAACAGATTTAACAAAATTCTCCTTAGTCCCCAAGCTAGTAGCTATTATAATAAAAGTGTAATGTGCTAATTAGACTGAATGTCCTTCTGGATGTCCTTCCTTCCAGACAAAGTCGCAGCAGGCAGGGGCCACAGTGGCAGCAGCGGGCGGGGGACAGGGCCAAGGCCCTTGCACAAATTTCGTGCACTGAGCCTCTAGTTTTAGAATAATAGTGTTTTCTCAGAATGTGAATAGAGGACCTTGAGATGACAATAGTCAATGTCATTTTCTAATGATATCTCAAATCATCTCAGCATTATTAAAACTGACCTATCTATTCATAGTTAAGGACACCTTGTGGCTGGCTACCTAAAGGTTTCGATCTTTTTCTTGTTACTTTAAAACAATCTAAATATTCAAAATTTTCTGGTGTTCATTTTAGTTAGCAAGTTTAGTTCTGTATTCACACATGCTATCCTTGGATTAGAGTAAAAGAAAAATAAATAATGGTCAAAATGACTGAAGCTAGTTTATCTAAGTTGCTTAGCTGTTTTTCTTTGAGTAACTACCTAATTTTAGAAAGTGCTTAGCAAGTACTGAAGAAAAATATACCCGACATTTAGTCTTTTGGAAATCAGTCTTTGTCCTTTCCTCCAAAAGATGAGATATTCTGAGTGCTCTTTTCATACTAGGATGTTGTCCTCTGTGCTTGCTGAAATGTGAATAGCTTGCTGTGTGACAGCCTCTCTTCTCTTGTCAGGAGCTCTTTCCCGTTAACAGACAGAGTGTGGATCACTTTGCTAAGTACTTCACCGACGCGGGACTGAAGGAGCTCTCTGACTTCCTGCGCGTACAGCAGTCGCTGGGCACCAGGAAGGAGCTGCAGAAGGAGCTGCAGGAGCGCCTGTCTCAGGAATGCCCCATCAAGGAGGTGAGCACCCCGGCCGCCGTCCCCCCCTCACACCGAGCCGGGGAGTAACACAGGCCTCACCTTCCTTAACGGGACGTTTATGCAATTGAGTTAGGCACATCCATATTTCATACTGTGGGACTTGAGGATAAATTTACACATTTAAACTTAATTCTTAAGGGGAAACTAACCTGTGTTGATACATATCGTATAAAAATTGCCTTTGCGCTGTACAACTTATTTACAAATTAACATTTCACTGAGATGGGGCATGAGATCATCAAAAGTAATAACTAAAGAATGATTTATGGACAATGGACTTATTTAAACCCAAGATATTACCTGTCAAGAGTTTAAAGGTGCGGGTTAAAGGTAAAAATTAACAGCTTGGCTGCCTTTTTCAAATCTCCAGGAAGTCAGACTGGCTCCAGTGAGCCCTACTCTGCTGGGCACTTGGATATCCCTGCATGGAAGAGAGTCACCCCTGGAAGCAGAGATTCTTCTCTCTCGTTCTCTTTTCCAGCAGCTCCTGGCCAGAGCGAGGCCTGTTAATTTTTGGGCTAAAAATAAATCTGCTTTGAAAGCAAAACATCGTGTTTTCTATCCCTGTTATAATCTGACAATAAGTACCAGGAAGGGAGGGACTGAGTAGAATGTTTGCCCAAACCTTTCCCTAACCAGGATGGTGGGCGGGAACTCCCCATCTGCCTATTATTCTGACGACTCCCTTTTCCGTGACATGTAGATGGTGCTCTATGTGAAAGAAGAAATGAAGAGGAACGACCTCCCGGAAACAGCCGTGATCGGCCTGCTGTGGACCTGCATCATGAACGCCGTGGAGTGGAACAAGAAGGAAGAACTCGTGGCAGAGCAGGCCCTCAAGCACCTGAAGGTACAGGGTCTTCGTTGGGGGGCGGTCTCTGCTGTGGGCCAAGTGCAGCGAGTGACAGGAAGGCCGATAGGTTCCAGCCCCATTCACCCAGACTCAGGCCAAGCATATAGCTCCTAATTTTTTTTCTTTTCAAACTCTCCAATACCTAAAATGTTTCAGATATGAGCCCATGAAACACCTAAGGGTAAGTTTTTACTAGAAACAATGATGTTCGAAAATCCACAGAATAGCTATTCAGTATTTCGAGTTAAAGAGGAATACTGTCTATTGGTTTTCTTTCTGTTCTCCACAAGGGAAACTCTTAGTGAACCTTTTTGTTTAAGTAAACTGCAAATTAACATTAGAATTTGAAAATTTTGAAAAGTATCCGGTGGAAGAAATCAGCTGACTCTGTAAATTACTAGTACCTATCTTCTGTGCATGGATACCTATGTTTTTTTCTGTGAATAGTCTTCTCGCTATAAAACCATTAAGAAAAGTGAAAGATTTAGATCCGCCTTCAGCGTTGATACTTGAATGGAGAAGTGAAAGACTACCGAGTAAAAACTAGGTTGGGATAGAAATTAGAGATGGCTCTCAGTGAGTGAGAGCAGAGCAGTGAGGAAGCTGCAGGTCCCATGGACCCGGGAGGAGATGACTGTTTAACGGTGTGGGTCTCAGAGGACACAATGGCGGCCCATCAGTGACCCAAGCCAAGGCAGCTGAGGCAGAGGGCGCAACATGAACAAAACCATAGAGATGACCTGAGAGGGGGTCTGAACGTCGGGAAGGAGAGCCTCACTCCTTGTCTCATTTTCACAACATCCAATAGACAGACATAGCAGCACAGCATTTATCGTCAGAAGTTCACATTTGTCTCCCTTTGGTGGGGACACTGAGAGGAAGCTGATACGATGCCAGGATAAAAAAAATTCATTTTGATCCGACACAATAGAATAAGAAGATAATCCAAAAACAGTGTTTTCTAAGCAACTCTCCAGGTTACCGTTGTGATGCAAGTGTGTCCAGCCTGCACCTCCCAGGAAAGTCAATGTCTTCACTCCCTCTCTTCCTGCAGCAATACGCTCCCCTGCTGGCCGTGTTCAGCTCCCAAGGCCAGTCCGAGCTGATCCTCCTGCAGAAGGTCCAGGAGTACTGTTACGACAACATCCACTTCATGAAGGCGTTTCAGAAGATCGTGGTCCTCTTTTATAAAGGTATCCGTCCTCGCTGGTCCGCCTCTGTGTGTCCACTTTCTGTTGCAGCTCTTTTGAGTTGTGGAGCAGGGGGTCAGGCAGAGGGCAACATGGGATTGCACTGATCTTGGCACATTTTAGTGAGGCAGCCACATTGCGTGTAGAGAGAAGATGTAAATGCTGTATACGCTGCCCTTAAGCAACCAGCCCAGTCAGGCCCCTATTCTCATTGGTGGAACTGGTGGTGAACAGGTTATTATTGGAGGGGTGAAGGGAGGGAATTCATTACATAAAGTAATTAGATCTGTTTTTTTAATTTTAAGGATTAACTCTAACAACAGTGATTATCGAAATGTTAAGTTATATTCAGACCGTTCCAGTTACCATAAAGCTGACGTTAAAATTACTGAAATAATTAGCCCTTTTACTTTCTATTTTAGTTATTTGTCCCAGCTATTCTCCTATTTTCCAAGGAAATGGCTATTTTTAGATATTCACATTTACTGTTCTTTTCATTGTATTTTTAAGGATTAGGTTGCCATGACAACTGGCACTGCCTTTAATAAATGAATGCTCTTATACTAGGGTTTTAACCAATTTCAGTTACCAACAGCATATAAAAATGATCCTGGGCTATCCTTTGGTCTGTGTTTATGTAGTGTTATCAGGCAAGTCCCATTTGAAGTTCAGGAGCTGATGTTTTTCTCTGGCCAGATCGGAATTAGGTCCTTCGGGATGTAGTCATGAGATAACAATGTTTTGAAATGAAGGCTTAAATGTTACCCAGGGTGACCCATGAGAACCAAACCTGCAGCTCATGTTACCAGCCCTCCTGTGGTACCTAGCAGCCATGAGAAGCAGGGACCCCCCTACCCACCCACCCAGTGGGCATTCTGCCCCCCCTGTCACTGCTGGCTCCTTTTCCAAACTGGTAGAGATGGTTCTACATTGGCTTTATGGATGGTCATTATTTCCCACTATAGAAAAAAAAAAAATCAAACTGTTTATAAACTAGTAGCCTAAGCACACATTTTCCTTCTTCGTTAATTAATTGCTAACCCCACTAACCAGTTTCTCTAACCAAACTTTTTAAAACTTAGACATAGTTGTTGAGTCTCATCTATAGAAGCACCTAATTTTATTGTACTTAATTTACAACAGAATAAACAAACCACTTTTTATCAGTGAGACCTCTAGGTTGCACATTGTTAATACAGACAGACCCAGGGAAAAAGCCTAAAGACTGAGAATCTACCTTCATAAGCAGAGGGCAGGGGAAGACTGGGGAAAGAGGCAGGCCACTCCATGCTGGTAATTAACAGTTTATTAGGAGAAACTTTTTTAGGAGGTATGTCCTGGGCAGCTACAAGTGAACTGGATTTCCTCCCCGCCACTTGGCAGGCATCAAAGAATTATATAGGATTCGGAGGCAAGGGGGGCGGGGGGGTTGGATATTAGTATGTGAATGTTACCAAAGAATCATAGGGAAAAGGGGGATGGTCGTGGATACTAGTACTGAGTGCTACCAGGTGCAGGTAATTACCTGCTTGACCAGGTCAGGGCACTGGGCATGGGTTCGTTCCAGGGATCAGCACATTGCAGCAGGTGGTAGAGGGGACTGAGTTGTTGGCAGAATGAACATTGAGATGATCCAACCGTTTCTAAGGTGGGGAGTTGTGGTAAGCAGTCTCAGTTCTGGCCTGGGTCCATCTCACAGGACAGGCAGTGGCCTCATGGACTAGTCTGTCCTCCACACATATGAGCTTCTACAGTTCGTCTTCAGATTTCTCATTTTATCCGTTAATGCCAACATCCTTCCCCATTGTATCCTTTTAAGTAATCTAAAGTTAGTGAGGTCTGCCGGGACCGGTTTGGCTCAGTGGATAGAGCGTCAGCCTGCGGACTGAAAGGTCCCGGGTTCGATTCCGGTTGAGAGCATGTACCTTGCTTGCGGGCACATCCCCAGTTGGGGGTGTGCAAGAGGCAGCTGATCGATGATTCTCTCTCATCGATGTTTCTAACTCTCTATCCCTCTCTCTTCCTCTCTGTGAAAAATCAATAAAATATATTTAAAAAATAAAATAAAGTTAGTGAGGTCTGTGACAAGTATGAACATGCCCTGGGGACACAGGAAGGTCAGTGTTAACATCATTTTATTCTCGCCTGGTTACTTTTGTAAATGAAATCAGGAAACTTAATTATCTCACTGAGGTGTTTAAACTGAATGTCATTTTTTTCCTAGGTAATGGCAAAATTTTCAGATTTATGCATACAGCTGTCTGCATGAACTGTTTACACATTTTCTCCTGAGAGCAGTAACCCCAGGAGTTCCATACCACTGCTAAGAAAGTTACTGTGTTTATCTTTTTACCTTATTTGAATGGTGGTTTTTACCCTGACCTTATTTCATCCCATTTAGGCACCAAGAGACATTGATTTCTATTTGCTTTTATAAGGGTTTGGGTGCTTTTTTTTGTATGTGTTTTGCATGTCTAAAAATGCTTGATGATGTATTAAAGCACTCCTTTCCCAGCTCTGATTTGCAAATGAGTCACATGGGGAGCTTGTTAAAAGCCCAGACCTTCAGGAGTTCTGATCCCCTGAGTCCTGGATTAGGTTTGAGAATTTGCATTTTACTAGATTTCTGGTGGGAGTCACATTGGTCTTGGACCACCACCTAAAAAGTGTTTGATGCCAAAGGAATAAATTCCCATGAACTAATGGTAACACATTTAAGATCATACCTACCACTAATTCCATGCACACATATACACTTTACAGTTACCAAACTGTGTCTGTTTGCTCTAGTGATATGGGTTCCTTTTATTTATTATAAGGAACATCTTTGCTTCAATGCAGGTTTTAAAATTATGAAAATCCTTTTTCCTTTTCTATTTTTTTTTAGTAATTTTCAGATTTATGCACACAGTTACTCGTGTCCCCTTAGACAAACCTAGTTATTTTAATAAATGTCATTGGTGAAAGATTTTAAAATATTTTATATAAGTAACAGTGTAATAAAAGTGAAGAAACTACAATAATGCTTTTTCAGCAATGAAAGAAAAAAAATGGTCATTTAGTGAAAATTCACTTTCTGTATTAAAACCTGGGTTTTTATATTTCTGAGACACTAAGCAAAAATAGTAAATTTATCATTAATTTTCAAACATCACATTATTCACTTTAAATAATAATTTATTTATTTATTTATTTATTTATTTATTTATTTATTTATTTATTTTTATTTTTTTTTTGAAGCTAAGTACCCTAGTCTCCGCATGGAGGTCTGAAAAGTAGAATACCAACTTCTCAAGGACTGTTATTTCTATTGTGGGTTTTATTGTGTGCAGAAATTTCTTAGATTAAATTTTGACCTTCATGCAAATTTTCCTAAAATGTTTCTTGTTGTAAAGAAAGGTGAGTGGACTTCTCACCATATATTTCCAGCATTCTTAAATTATTTTTTACTTCGTCTCAGTGTGGCATCTCTAATAAAATTTCTGTATTTCCTGAGTTCCAAATGACATATTATTCAACTTTAATATCTAAATAACTAATGTTATTTACAATTCTCAACCATTTTTACAATATTGTCTCTTTGATCCTAATGAAGCTTTACAATTCTCGAACCATTTTTACAATATTGTCTCTTTGATCCTAATGAAAACCTAAAATTTAAATTATAACTGTAGGTTGAGAATTACTTAGTTTTTCTGAAGTGAATGAATTTGTCCATTACACATGAATTGAATGTAATCCTAGAGGACAGTTTGACAGTATGTCAAATGCTGGAAATTAAATAGTCCCTGACATCCTGAATTTCAGAGCAGAAGAAAGCCAGGATCTAGAGTCAGCTTGTCATTTGCTGAAATAAGGCTCCCCCAGAGTGCTGAGGAGTGGTGGGGTTTCCTTGAAAAGGGCACCCAGCGCACAGGTGAAGCTAATTTGGAGGGAAAGGAAAGGGCTGGGAGAGGGCCAGGGGTGGAGGGCGGTTAGGTATTTCCCCACAGACGACGACGAAGCTGTCTGGATAGGGGAGAAATGTATTTTACTCTCAGGGAACTCTGCAGTTGGATAGTGTCTTTCTTAGTACTTCTATTGATACATATTCTTAGTAGTCATTTCTGGGAGATCCTAATAAAGACTTTATAGTCTCCCAATTTTATTTTATTTTTTAAATCTTTATTGTTGAAAGTAATACATAGATCCCCCCTTTTCCCCATTGGCTTCTTTAGCCTGCCCCCACCCCAGGCCTCCGCCACCCTATTGTCCATGGATTACACATACATGTATAGAAGTTCTTTGGTTGATCTCTTCCCACTACCCCTGCCACCTTCCCTCTGAGATTCATCAGTCTGTTCCATGCTTCTGTGTTTATGGATCTATTTTGTTCATCAGTTTATTTTGTTCATTAGATTCCACATATGAGTAAGGCAATGTGATACTTGTCTTTCTCTAACTGGCTTATTTCACTCAGCATAATCTTCTAGTCTCCAATTTTAATTGATTCTTCTTCACTCTTCCTTAGAGGAAATAAATCGGCATTTTTTTTTCTTTCTCTAGGAGTTTTCTTCCTCTTTAAATTAGACTTTTCACTAAACAAAAGTTGAATTTCTTCTTAAATGAAGTTCATGCTTTGCCTCATAAGTTGTTCTGTCCCAAGTTTATTATTTATTCCCAGATACTAGAAATTTAGGCTAGCAGCAAGTATTTATTACAAAATTAGGTTCTTCTGCAAACTCAACTTCACACAGTCTGTTTTTTTTAATGGACAAAACATTTGATAAGTTTTACTTATCATTGAGTGTCCTTTTCACAATTGTCCTTGAAAAGTGTTTTAGTAGCCGAAACCAGTTCGGCTCAGTGGATAGATCATCAGCCTACGGACTGAAGAGTCCCGGGTTCAATTCCGGTTAAGGGCATGTACCTTGGTTGCGGGCACATCCCCAGTAGGGGGTGTGCAAGAGGCAGCTGATCGATGACTCTCTCATCGATATTTCTAACTATCTCTCTCCCTTCCTCTCTGTAAAAAAATCAATAAAATATATTTTTTTAAAGTGTTTTAGTAGCTGCATGTTCTTTTTCAGCCTCTGGGGGGCAGTAAAACACAGGAATGATTTCTGAACTTAAGAAGGAAATCTCCAAATACTATCACTAAATTATAGGCTTAACCAGCTTCCCAACATATACTATCTATCAGATGCATTAAAGTAAAGAGAAAAAACATGTCCTTTTACATATTTGCCTCATTTTTATCCTATTTTTTGTTTTATGACAATAATAGTTCTATAGGACATACATGCATACATACATACAGTTTATAAACTGAAAAATATACATATATTGGATGTACATGCTCAAAACTGTCTCATAGGGGAGCATGATCCAAACAATTGGGAGATGGCTGTTCTAAATCCAGCATCTTAAAGATGTCAGAGAGACAGATTTTGTAAGAGACTTTAAATCCATGTTTAAGCTAAGTAGTTGAAAAATCTATGTAAAGCATTTTTACACAGTAACAAGTCACTTCTGCAGGGTGTAAGCTACCTGCTCCTTGCCTCTAGAAACACTAGGCTTTGATGGAAAGTGGGTGGGGAAGTTTTCTCATTGTTGTGAGTGCAGGATGAGCTGGGAACAGAAGAAGCTAAAAGACTAGAAGCTAAAAGGAATTCTACAGGATTCCTGATTCAATCTTTTATATCCAGTTTTTATAGTCAGACTTCCTCTTTCCTTCCCAAGTTGTAGTATATTTAATTATTAAAATAAATAAAAACCTTATATTGTCTTAAGACCAATTGTGTGCATTTTTAGCCAATTTGATTTCCTCAGTTGAATACAAGAGCCAATTATTAATTTAGAAAAATAAATAAAATATTTATTTTATGACCTGTTATAAAAAGGTCAGTGATATTTTAAATAACAATTATTAAATCATTTCTCTTGTTTTCATAGGCTAAAATCGTATTTCGACTGCAAATACATCATTAGAGTGGTATATCAGTATTGTAATGGTTTGGATAGGTATTGGGGACAATAATAAATCCTTTTTATTGGCTTTGCATCTCATTTCCCACTCAAATCCCCAAAACCATCCCATTAGATCATCGGTAATGTATATATGCTATTATTTTGTTATGCCCCTTCTCATTCTTAATATTACATTTTTCTAAATTACCATCACCTGAGGGTATCAAGACATATTTGTGTAATTTAGAGTTTTAGGTAATTGATAGGTAATAGATAATACTTTTTGTTAGAAACCTGTAGGTCTAATATGTCTCTGTTTTTCTCTTAATAGAGTACAAAGAAAACATTACTATTGCAGCTTAGAATATGATGCTGTAGGAAAATCAGTTAGTAATTTAGCAATAGGGTGAGTGTAGGACTTTGGGTTATGTGTGCATTGGTCCCGTGATACACCTAGGAAACTCATCTTTATATCTTAATTATTAATATCCTTATTGTATCCTGTCTTCATCCTTTTACTTGCCCTTCTTTCTCCTAAAATAGTAAACCCCCCTCAAAAGTCCAGTCATTGAGGTTGCTGATTAATCAAGATCTGTCTGGAGTTGGCAGGGCACAGCGTGTTCTGAGATGCTGACATTGCTGAGTCATTTGCAAAATCACAAAATATCTACACTGTTTCTACCAGCAACTTTGGACTTTAAGAGGTTTCCAAGTCCTAGTGTGACTTGCATATAGGCCTGCATTATATCATGACTCATGTGAGGTATCATCATCATCACTACTTACTAAGCTAAAATGCCAAAATAGGCCACTGCTCTATAAAGAAATGAGCTTGGTTTCAGTCTTCTAGTAAGTTTCAGGTATGGCTTTCTTTGATAACAAAGCATTCAATGTTAACATGATTGCTTTCTATTAAAGTATATGACAGGAAGTTGCTTTAAAACATGACATGTGTGTAGTAACTGAAATCTTTGATTTGAAATCGCAGCTGATGTGCTGAGTGAAGAAGCGATATTGAAATGGTACAAAGAAGCACACGTGGCCAAAGGCAAAAGTGTTTTTCTTGACCAGATGAAGAAATTTGTTGAGTGGTTGCAAAACGCAGAAGAAGGTATGATTCCATTCAGCAAATGCTTTCTCCTTATAATTCAAGACATCTGGCCTTCCACAGATTTTTCTTGCTTTCCTAAAACTAAATTCTTGAAGTGTCTTCCATATCAAACACTCAGCCTACATCTTAGCCTTTGTTTCTGAATCAAGGCAATGAAAATTTCTGCAGGGCAAAGTAACAAAACGGCCCTCTTAAATTATCCACTCTAATGGAGAACAAAGAGGAAGAAATAATTAGATCTGAAAGGGAAAACAATACATTTGTTTTAATCGCACATTATGGGATTATACAGATTTTTATAAGCACCTTTACCAGTTGACTGATATTTGAAATGGGAACACAAACTGTAAGGATAATGTATGAGATTAAATGCAACAAAAAATGAAAAATTTATTTTAGGTGATTTTTTAAAATGTAGTTATATTCTCTAAAAGTATTGATAAGGACATTGCATTTTTAGAAAGGCCAAGTTCATTTCAAAGCAAAGGGAACAAAAGTTTGCTACCTGCCCTCAATATCTAACTATTTTACTTAGAAAACGGGTACCTGGGACAACAATGTCTTGGGAGTGAAGAGGGGGATGGGAGAGAAGTGAAGTAGAGACTCTTCTGGCCTTATTTAAAAGAAAGAAAGAAAGCCGAAACTGGTTTGGCTCAGTGGATAGAGCATCGGCCTGCGGACTGAAGGGTCCCGGGTTCGATTCAATTGCAGTCAAGGGCATCTATCTTGGTTGCAGGCACATCCCCGGTGAGGGGTGTGCAGGAAGCAGCTGGTCAATGATTCTCTCTCATCAATGTTTCTAGCTCTCTATCCCTCTCCCTTCCTCTCTGTAAAAAATCAATAAAATATATTTTAAAAAATAAATAAAATAAAAAAATAAAGAAAGAAAACAATAACAATCATGACTTTCCTTTCTTCTCTCCTAGAATCCGAATCGGAAGGTGAGGACAATTAGATGGCCGGAGAAGCACAACGTCTAGGTCATCACACAACCCTTGGATTGGGAAATGCTAAACCCTTGGAGAAGAGAAACGTGGCTTGTTTTCACAAAGAAAAAAAAAAATAGGATAGGTTTCCCTTGTGCAGAGGGGGCAAATGGTTTTTGTTTTTGTTTTGTTTTTAAATGGAGCCCTGAGGCATCAGCTATTATACTTGGGACTCTACCTCTCACTCACTATATGCTAACTTAAAGCCATTCAACTGGGAGTCCAGTAGGAATCTGAATTACTCAGCAGACTCCTCTTTTTTTAGCTGTATTTTTCAGGTACTGTGTGGTGAACGCCCCACTGGTGTCTATTACAGGGCCACTTTGGTAGTTGTGTATCTGCTTGTGTATGTGATTTGACAAACCAGTTTTTTTAAATAAATGGCTTTATAAAAATCGGGGCCTATATTCTCAGAAATTTTATTTCTTTACCTAGCATAACTTCCTACACAGATGACATTTCAGCTAATATTTTGACAAAAGTATATTTAAAGATAAAATGTTGAAAATTACATTCAATTTATGATGATAATTGTATGTCAACTTTAATGTTTTATATTTTTTAGTATTTATATTTAACTTTATAGGCCAACGAGGGTTTTCCTTTATTTTAGGAGGTTATTAGTACAAACTAAGAAGGCTACTGCATTGGAAGATATTTGACTTTGCCCCATAACTTCTAAGGTGGCCAAGGTCATAGAGTTGGTGACTAAAACGGAACTAAATTTCCCATCTTTAGCATCCATATCTGCTTTTTTCCCTATATTCTGTTGTCAAATTATTTTTGATGACAATATAAATTTCTACAGTTTAAGCAAAAGTTTTTAAAACTGGCACTGCTATTGAATAAACATTTGGAAAATCTACTTCTAATCTATAAACGTAGCAATTATAGAATACTAAATATTTAACATTTTCTAGCACAAAGTATTTTTCCAAACAGAACTTGAGATAGTGACCTTAAGTAAGCAGCCAAGAGGGGGACGATTACTCAAATAGCAAGGACTTAGTGAATCCTCAAACTCAAAGCGCTTTCTTTTCTCTGGAAGGTCAGTGTTCCTTCTTTTTTTAAAAAAATGAACTGTTTCAGCTATAAATGTAGTAACATTAATTATCTATTGCTGTGTAACAAATTACCCCCAAATTTAGCAGCTTAACAACAAACTTACCCGGTCAGAGTTTCTGTGGGCCAGGAATCCAGGAGTGGCTTAGCTGGGTGATTTGTAGCTCAGGGCCTCCCCCCAGGTTGCAGTCAAGCTGTGGACTGGAACTGCTGTCATCTGGAGGCTCTAGGACAGTGGTTCTCAACCTTTCTAATGCCGTGACCCTTGCTACTTCAGAACTGTAATTTTGCTTGCCGTGACCCACGGGTTGAGATCCGCTAGCAGGGATGCTTCAGACCATTGGAAAACACAGGTATTTACATTACAATTCATTTAACACTAGCAAATTTACAGTTATGAAGTAGCAACAGAAACCATTTAACGGTCGGGGGTCACCACAACATGAGGAACTGTATTAAAGGGTCACGACATTAGGAAGATTGAGAACCACTGCTCTAGGAGCTGCCTCCAGGCTGGCAGTGGTGATTCCTGGGCCTTACTTCCTTGCTAACTTCTAGCCCGAGAGTTCAGTCCCTCAGCACAGGGCCCTCTACGTAGGCTTCCTGGGTGTCTTCATGTCTTAACTGGTGGCTTGCCCCCTAGGAACGGTCTGAGGAAAGGAAGCCATCATTAGTAACCTTATATTGGAAGTGATAGAACATCTCTGCCATGTTCTATTCCTCATTGATCAACCCTGGTACAACATAGATAGGGACTCCAGGAGGTATGAATACCAGGAAATAGGATAATCGATCATAATACTAGCCATTTTAGAGGCTGGCTACCAGAGTATAGTACATAGTAAAATAGTTCCTGGAGAGTTTTAAAATCTTCACCTAATGTTAAAACAATGAAAGCAGGAAAAGACAATGTCAGAAATATCTTGATAAATATTTATAAATATAATTTGCTTAATTCTTTAAAAATTAAGTCCATTCTATATGTTTTATATCCTGCTCTTTATTAAGTAATATTTTTTAATATTTTACTATATTAATAACTGTTCTTCAAAAGCATGTTTTAAAGTACATTTTGTTCTTGGTATAGATAAGGCATAATCTTTATTGCTTTATTGTTCAATAGGAGATATTTTATAATTTTTCCTTTTAAAAATAACCACTTAAAATACTACCAAAATCTTAGTTTAGATTTAGAGAAAAAAAAAAAAGATAGAAATGTGATGTGGTCAAAGGATTTGACTATTTTAAATACAATATTCTATTTACTGAATTAGCATGTATACATTTGAATGCATTTTATACCTATTTGGTACATAGTCCAGGGCAGTGGTCAGCAAACTGCGGCTCGAGAGCCGCGGTTTGCTGCTCTGTTGACTAATGAGTTTGCCGACCACTGGTCCGGGGCAATATTATTTTAATAAATCAAAAACATATCTGCTAAACTCTAAAAATATGAAAGTTAGAGTATTTAAAATGTGCACAGTGGAGGATCCAAGATGGCTGCTCGGGTAGACATCTAGCCGCGGCAGCACACAACAATTTCAATGGAATACAACTAAAATGTAGAGTGGACATTGCCCAGAGCTACAGGTAGTCGACTGACTGAAATTTCTACAACAAGAAGGAAAGAGAAAACCAGAAAGAAAATCAGAGGAGCTGGAAAAAAGCCTAAGGTACGGAGACATGCTGCGCGCGCCTGCCCGCCCGCACGCGCGCACGGAGAGGTCGCAGCCGGAGAGGAGGAGAGGGCGGGGAGCCGCCTTTCCTTCCCCAGCAGGAAGGAAATAAAACCCCCAGCCTGGGCTGAACCCCCGAACCGGCAGCGCTGAGCCCCCCCGAACCGGCAGCGCTGAGTCCCAGTTATGGGCCAGACCCTGGGGACCCAGGCTCCGGCGGGAGGAGACGGGGCTGTGAGGCGGAAAAACGGCGAAAGGCAGGGCCCCGGGAGTCGCGCGAAATGCGCGCAGAGGACTGAATGTTGACTCTGATGCTGGGTTGCCCTAGCCGGAAGAAACAAGGCCTCCGGCGGCGCTGAGCCTCAGTCTGGACTGCTCCGAACCCCAGTTCTGGGCCAATCCCTGGGGACCCAGGCTCAGGCAGAGGGAGACGGGGCTGTGAGGTGGAGTCCGGGAAGAGCGGCGAAAGGCCGGGCCCCCGGGACTCTCGCAAACTGCGCGCAGAGGACAGTCTGTGGGACTCGCGCAAACTGCGCGCAGAGGACAGTCTGTGGGACTCGCGCAAACTGCGCGCAGAGGACAGTCTGTTGACTCTGATGCTGGACTTCCCTAGCGGGAAGGAGGAAAAAAAAGCTCTAGGCTGGGAGAACGCGGAGGGGAGCGGAAGCCCCTGCCGGACTCCAGCCAACCGGGCACCAGCAAGGAGGTGGGCCATGGGGCCCCTGGGGGCGTGGGTGCCCCTGAGCCTTTGACCACTGAGCTCAGGCAATGGAACCAAGGCCAGGGGGGCTGCTTCCTGGGCGGCGCTGCCGTCCCGGCAACAGGCTGAAGCAGCACAGGAGCCTGCGGAGAACAAAGGGGTGCCACAGGCCAACCTGCTGAGCTCCCAGGACAAGGAGGAAGAAACCAAAGAAGTTCTCAATGTGAAGAAATCAAGTGAGAGCAAAAAATAGTAAAATTACTTAAGAAAGAATACAAAGAAGATCTTGAAAAATCAAAGACTAAGTCAGAACTCAACCCACCAGCCAACATTGCAACATAAATGCGTTTTAAAAAGAAAAAAAAAGGACAGAATGTTGGAACAGCGACGGCCAGGCCTAGAGTGGCCAGGCACAAGGCAGTGGCAGCCAGACCCGGAGCAGCAACGGCCAGGCCCCAGAACAACAGCAGCCAGAACCAGAGCATCAACAGCCAGCACTGGAGTAGCCAGACCTGGGGCAGTGGCAGCCAGGCATGAGGCGGAGGCGGCCAAGCCCAGGGTGGCCAGTCCAGGAACACCCAGACCCGGAGTGGCCGGGCCCGAAGAAGCCGGGCCCAGAGCAGCCGGGGTGGGAGCAGCCAGACCCAGAACAGCAGTAGCCAAGCCCAGAGCATCCAGGTCGGGAGTGGCCAGGCTCGGAGCGGCCGGGCCCGGGGCAGCCGGGCCCAGAGCAGCCGGGTCAGGTGCGGCCAGGCCCGGAGCAGCAGCTGCCAGGCTGGGAGCGGCCAGGCCCGGGGGAGCAGTCGGGTCAGGTGCGGCCAGGCCCGGAGCAGCAGCTGCCAGGCTGGGAGCGGCCAGGCCCGGGGGAGCAGGCGGGGCTGGTGCGGCCAGGCCCGGAGCAGCGGCTGCCAGGCTGGGAGCGGCCAGGCCCGGGGGAGCAGGCGGGTCGGGTGCGGCCAGGCCCGGAGCAGCGGCTGCCAGGCTGGGAGCGGCCAGGCCCGGGGGAGCAGGCGGGTCCGGTGCGGCCAGGCCCGGAGCAGCGGCTGCCAGGCTGGGAGCGGCCAGGCCCGGGGGAGCAGGCGGGTCCGGTGCGGCCAGGCCCGGAGCAGCGGCTGCCAGGCTGGGAGCGGCCAGGCCCGGGGGAGCAGGCGGGTCGGGTGCGGCCAGGCCCGGAGCAGCGGCTGCCAGGCTGGGAGCGGCCAGGCCCGGGGGAGCAGGCGGGTCGGGTGCGGCCAGGCCCGGAGCAGCGGCTGCCAGGCTGGGAGCGGCCAGGCCCGGGGGAGCAGGCGGGGCTGGTGCGGCCAGGCCCGGAGCAGCGGCTGCCAGGCTGGGAGCGGCCAGGCCCGGGGGAGCAGGCGGGGCTGGTGCGGCCAGGCCCGGAGCAGCGGCTGCCAGGCTGGGAGCGGCCAGGCCCGGGGGAGCAGGCGGGGCTGGTGCGGCCAGGCCCGGAGCAGCGGCTGCCAGGCTGGGAGCGGCCAGGCCCGGGGGAGCAGGCGGGTCGGGTGCGGCCAGGCCCGGAGCAGCGGCTGCC